CCCCAGATGTTTCCCTGGAAGGTGGCATTTCAATCAGACATTTTATAAGGCATTTATCAGAAATTTGGCTGACAGATACCACATCTTCCCAACACTGCTGGGATTTGCTTAAACAAAAAAAAAATACTCTGAATTATTTCCTTGCCCAAAAAATACTCTGAATTATTTCCTTGCCCAAAACTGACCTGCAAGGTGTCAGCTCTGTGATGGTGCAGCCTTGTTGCATGGCCAGGCAGCAGCTCCTGGGCCAACAGCAAGAGTTTGGTGGTGCTGACTTGCAGAGAACCTTTGCAGGAGCAGGGCTGTGCCTCTGCTTTGTCCTGCTCTGAGCAAGGAGYGTGGCTGGAGCTGGTGCCAGTGGGGTGGTGGAGGGCAAAAGGCAGGAGCTGCCAGTGGGGCACAGATGGGGCACATGAGGCCCTCGCTCCTGCCTTGTGAAGGGACAGGGATATGGGGCTGGGTGTGGGACCTCTTCCGTCCTGTGGCCAGACCAGCACATTGGGCCAGACCACCTCCTGTGCAGCTCTGGAGCTTTCAAGAACTTCTTTATTGTAAAGAATCAATTGAGAATATAAAGCTCCATGTTTTGGAGGCAAGTGCTCTGCACGGTGCATCCCTGCCAGAGCAGGGTGTGTGAAGTGTGGCTTGGCAGCTGCTCCCGGCTGACATTGGGGACCAAGGGTTCAGCTGTGGATCCTTTGCACCAGGACCCCCTGGGGAAGGGTGAGCCAGTGGCTGGAGCAGGGAGTGATGCTTGGCCAAAGCTGTCTCCCTTTTCTCCTTCACCCCCTCCTCTTGGAGGAGTGAGGGGATGGCTGACAGATTCAAGGAGTGATTCTCTATGGCTTAAATAGGGAACCGATAAAATTGTAARTGTTGGGCACCTGATGTTTAAATATGACTTAAAACCCTTACAAATTGATTTTTCCACTRATAGATTGTTGTGGGTACAGCTCTTCATGGTGTAGGTAACTTGTGTGAATGATTTATTCTGTTGGGGATTAAAACAGATGCTGTAAAATTATCTTGTGAGTATTTGAAAATCATTTGTGTGTCTGTGACGTGTCTTAGCACATACAGGAATGCTGTGTTTGGGGAAATGAGCTCCTTATCCTGATTTATCTCTAGGTACTTGTAAATGTTACTGTAATTTCATGTTATCAAACCATTTAGCTCTTCCTCTTCCAGAACGAAGTTATTTTATCTCATGCACCTTGTTTACTTCAAATTAGCCCTGAGGTTGGCCTGAAGTTGCACCTTGTTATTCCTCCACCTCCTGTCTCCGTCTTAGGCTCTGTCGGCAAATTTGAAGGTATAAGTAAATACTTTTTTGTTATTAATAGAATAAGTTCTCCCTCCTACACACGTTTTCTTTTCATTCCAGTCTTCATTTTCCATGAAAAACTGACATTGCAGTACTAGCGGAAACCTCCCAAATTGCATGAAAAAGCCTTAATTCTCCTAGCAACAAGRTCAGGGCTCAAATCCAGTCCCTTTCCACAAGCACGGGGGGAACAACCCTTCCATTACCTGCTCCCCCTGCGGTATGGATCCGGTCAGTTCMCAGGCACCTGGGTTTGGGTGGATTTGAATCTCAGTCATGGTATTGTTTAAAAATTCTCCACTCACTGGGGAAGGGTTTGTAGTGGGCTGAGCCCTGAGAAACCTGGAGCTGGTTTTATGGCTTCCCATTGAAATCTGGTGGAACCCTGTGGTGTTGACTGATTTCCCCCTTTGCCACTCATGTGGCTTTGATCAAACCCAGGACTTGGAGAATGGCACCCCCAGGAACTGGAACCGCTGAGTTTTGCCCAGTTCTGCTGTTCATTAAAGTGTTTGTGCTCTTCCAGTTGTGGATGGTAAAACGAGGTTTGTGCCTGTCCAGGATGGAGACTGCTGCTCCTATGGCCGAACCCCTAGACAGGTCCTGGATTAGCAGAGTTGTTGCAAAACTGAACAGAATTTCCTTTGCCCTCTTAATGAGCCATTCCCTGGTGAGCAAACCCTTGAGGCAAGATGGAGCATTGCTGACTTTGGGGCAAACCTTGCATTCTGTCGCACRGATGGGACTGAAGCTCTGCTAAAGGCATTGAGCACTGGAGGAATGGCTGCTCTTGGGGCCTGCTGATGACCAGGCACCCTGGTTTTCCGCTGTTGCTGCCCGTGTGCCTCCAGCCTGGGTCATTGTGCCTGATGGTTCTCCTGCCGTGCGTGTTTGGGGATCGGGGATGCAGAGGAGCCTGTGCATCACAGCCCAGAGGGTTTCCCTCCTGCTCCATGGCCCTTCCCACCAGCTGCAGCGAGCTCCACAGTGATTGTGCAGCCTGTTTTAGGATGGCTTCCCCGGCAGAGCAGGGTGACCTGTCCTTGTGGAAGGGATGGTCACCCTCGCTCCTCGCCCCAGCGTTCTGCCCTGCAGCAGCCGTGCTGCTGTGGCTTTCTTGTYACCCCTGGGATGAGATGGCTGAAATGGCTAAAGACTGAAAGGGTCTGACAGTGTTCAGATGGGGTGGGGAGGGTTTAATAGTAGCATATGTCGGCCTGCAGTATTGAAAAACTCATTTGATTTCAGTGGGAAGCTGAATTGGGCTATGATGGAAATCCTTGGCTTTGCTGAGCATTACATGAAGTCCAGTGTGATGGTTCATATCTTCTTACCCTGTACCTGCTCGCTGGTATYTTCTGATGCATAAATCAGAGTGCTGGTGCACATGACATGTGACATTCTAGGTACAGCACTAGTAATTCAGCAGTTATAGGGGAAAACGTGTTCTGRCAGAAGGTTGTGGGTGAGAAGAATTTCCTCTGTGCTGAAGGACTTGAAGATGCTGTTGTGTAATGCTGTCACTCCCTCCTGGGCTGTGTGTGCTGTGTGAGTATCCTGAGTGCAGAGATCCATATTGTGCTGTGTTAAAAGCCCAGTTCTGTCTGTTAGTTTTGATCTTCTGGCTAAGCTGAGCCAAATTTGCCAAAATCTCAAACCAGTGGCTCCATGGGGAAAAGAGTCCTGTGTAGGGATGATGGRGGCGGGTTGGATATTCAGCTGTGGGGTGGTTGGAGAGCAGCAGAAACTTCCAGCTCAATGCTAATCCTGGCTCCCTCTGTCAGGAGGACAATACTTCAGGGATGTGGCTTCCTAAGCAGCTCCTGGAGCTTTGGGTGGCTGCTTTCAGTCTGAGATTGAAGGATTGTGGAAGGGGAAGGGCCAGGCCCTCTATGCCACCAGAAATGAAACCCTCTTCCGAGCAAAAACCTGTCCCAGGAGAGAAGAGGTATAAAACCAGGCTCTGGCACATCCCCTCTCTGTCAGCTGGAGTGGCTGAGAAATGACRGCCACATGTCCCCCAGCCAATGGCATCTGGGTGAGGCGGGGATGCCATCCCACCTGGGCACCATTCAGGGCTGGGAGCAACCCCTTTTCCTGCTGGTGTCACTCAGAGTTGGGAGTCAGAGCCACGCCTGGGGAGTTCTACACATCTCCAAATCACCTCTGACCTCAGGACTCTCCAAGGGTACTCAGTGGCTGCAATGCCCCTCTGGGTGCCCCCTGGAGCAGCAGGGGGGGTCCATCTGCCAGGTGTGGCCCTGGGATGGGGTGGGGGTGAACTTTCAAACTGCTGCAGAGGCTCAGACTGAGGCTTGTCATGATTTCAGTGGGGTTTGAGTAGCTGTGGGTGCAAGCCTGTAAAGTATTTCAGAAGCATACCAGAAGTGAGGGATAGAAGGGGAAACGCTGTTGTTTGAGCCGTATGAGATTCTGGGGTTTGGGGTTTCTCTGACTAARTATGATGTTTCCCTGGCACGAGTTCAGTTCATCAGCTTTCCCTAATGGAAAAAAGCAAAGTTGGATGTCTTGTTTTGCTTGGAGTTGAAAGCACTGGACTGGATAAACTTAACTGTTGTCTTTGAAAAGTTCTTCTCCCCTTGGATAAGAGCATTTAACAAATAGAAATTATGACCTCACGCTTTCGTGCTTTAAAAAAAAAGAATTTCGATTTCAGCTGATGCTTGTTTGGCTCTTATTAACAATGTTTGAACCAAAAAAGAGGTCCAGATGTGATGATTTTAYTTATGCCAAATTGGGTTTTATTCACTGAGCTTGCATTTGGATAATTTATTTTTTCTTTTCTTTTTTTTTCATTTTTCAGCCTGATGGCACCAGTAAGGAGTGTGTCTTCATTGAAAAAGTCCTAGAAAACAACTACACGGCACTGATGTCTGCAAAATATTCAGGCTGGTATGTTGGATTCACCAAAAAAGGGAGGCCACGGAAAGGGCCTAAGACCCGGGAAAACCAGCAAGATGTACATTTTATGAAGAGATACCCAAAGGGGCAAATGGAGATACAGAAACCTTTCAAGTACACAACAGTCACCAAGAGGACTAAGAGAATACGACCCACCAACCCCAGCTAAAAACAGACAAAAACAGTGTCACAATAAGAAACCACAAAAAGGAAAAAAAAAAAAAAAAAAAAAA